GCTGGCTGGGGAAAGCGATCTCCCAAGGGTGATATTCTCTACAACAATCAGGCTGGCTGGGGAAAGCGCGCCGAGAGTGCCGAGAACGAGGCTTATTAAGTCAGCGCAGAAGGGATAGCAAGTTGGGAACAATGACTGGGCATATGATTTATAAAGAAATGTAGACTCAAGCTACTACAAGTATACTAGGAGTTGCAATGCCTCAACTCTGTCCCAATTATAAGCATCCTCTGATGAAAAGTGATAAAGTAAGCTGCAAGACAAGGCACAATAATGTAGCAAGAAGAAGCCAAGGGACAAATACTTGCTCACGATGGCGTATCCCCCCCAGTCCACGAGTTCCCAATGTAACCTTACAGATCTGCTGGGGTAAGACAATGGCTGACGCCTCGAATCCTTTCGATGGGGGCCAAGAGTGCTACAATATACAATATACCAAAGTAAGCACTAAGTGCACTGCCGGCCTGGAACACCCCGCCTCTTCACCTAGGTTCCCCAAATAATTAAAACATAATCTGAAGCGTAGATTCCCGAACAGTTTCGACTTTATATAATTTTTTCCAGCATGTACTCTGAGAAACGTTTGAAGCAGGTGGCCAAGGATGCCGCAGATGCATCTGATACGGACAGTCTCTTGAGCCTTGACCAATCACAAGAGAAGCTGATCCTGTCATTACAACATGCGCGATCAAAACGAAACGCAAGGATAAAAATCTTTGTACATGTCGCGATCATTACTTTGTATAGTTTAATAGCAATTTTGCTATTGACATGGGGTGCCAAACTGAGGGCAACTGGATGCGCATGCGAAATTGGCGCCGTGTACTGTAAGTGAATTGCGAGAACGGCCAGTACCAGCTATTAACAGAACTACTCAGCTCCGGCGAAAGAGGCAATCGAATACCAGAAGCAAATAATAGACCACAAAGTCTTCGAGGCGAGCAAGTTCCGAGGCATGCCGCGCCCGGAAGTGGATGATGCTTGGGAAGATTTGTTGCGATGTACGGGTGCCCCCGTCAACCCTTCTCCTTCGTGTGCTAACAAGAAGTATTCTCAGACAACGACATTCGCGTGCAGAAAGAGGACCTCGAAAAGGCAAACATCACCTCCGTGCCGCTCAACGACAAACAGGGCGGCTATTTCGTGACCCTCGACGTCTACCATACCCTCCATTGTGTCAACCACGTTCGCAAATCCTACTACGCCGACTACTACCAGAACCCCAACCCCGTCGCCCAACAGCGGGAGCACTTTGACCACTGCATCGACCTGCTGCGACAGACTCTCATGTGTCACGGAGACATTTCTCTGCATCCGTTTGAGTGGATAGATGATTATCGCTTCCCGTGGCCGACGGAGCGGACTGAGCATCAGTGCCGCAGCTGGGACAAGCTGGTTGCGTGGTCCAAGGCGCATTCCATCCCCGACTTGGAGGGCCCGATACTCACACATCCGATATTGGGTATGGAATACTCACATCTAGAGAGCGGTCGATTGAGCCAAGGACACCGTGACTGACTGTCATAGGAACCTCGTATCGCGGTAATGAGCCCGGTTGGACGACTGGACTCTCCCCAGAGCAAGAAAGAAACTCGCATCAGAAAGGATAGGTCCAGCGTTTAATCCATTTTACACTGTTTTACAGGACTTGGGCGACAATATTGGATACAAATAATAGGAATACAAATCAACCATTTACTGGAAACCGTAGTCTGGTGGAGGCAGCACATTGCAAGTTTCCTTTATAGACCAATCTGGAGGCCCGAGATTACAACCATCTGTCTCGACAATAAAAACTTGATTGCCCAGATCTACTTGCAACCAAGTTGCGGCATTTCATTGTGAGATTTTGCACGTCGTTGGTCTCTGTTGTTGGTCACTGGGGCTGATGGAGCTCAATATGGCTGCTGCGTTTCCACTAACAAGATCAAGGTTTCATGGTCTAACGGTTATGACTGCGGATTCTGATTCCGCCAGCGAGGGTTCGACTCCCTCTGAGACCTTTCTTTTTGCCGAGTCCTAGTGCTGGTGCGCTCCATCATGATTGACAATTTTACCACTCAATGTAGAAGCTGGCCACCTTTTTTGTTTCTTTTCTTGTTCTTTTGCTCGGTTAGGGGACATCAGCGCTGTGTGGTATTCTACCCTTATCCAGGCCGATGCTGCACGGTTTATTACACAAATTGAGGAATCTACCGGGTTTCCTGCCGAAGCTATCAGTATATGAAGTCTCTGTACTTCTTTTGTTGGGGAATACAGTTTTTCACACCTGGTCCTAATTTGGACCAAGCCTTGGAGGCGGGTAGGCATCTAAATCTCTTGCATTTTCCGCTGGTCGCAGTCTTGGCAGCATATTCAGCTCGAGGGAAAATTGTCGCGCAATGACTGTCCGTGCAAGCCTCAATGGCGGCCTCTACAGTAATTGCAGTAAGTTGTCACATTTGTTATTCAAAGTACATAGTTCATGATCCGCAGGCACTTCAACGCTTTTTTCGGATTTCCCCGCCACCCCCGGTATAAGACCCTGTATTGCCAAGATGCGCACGGCCTGCGTATGCTAGTTAATAGTATCAGTCGTAATTCGTACTTGGCTGTACTGATTGATAGTTTGAATAACAATGGCATATTATTTTATCCTCTGAGAAGTAGGTTGTGAAAATACACCTCGAGGCTGATTTGGCAGTCTATGAGGTGGCTACAGGTCCAAGACGTGTACTCTGCCGTCGCGAGGGCTTCAAACATGACACGGGACATCCAAGTGGCTGTTACCAAGAGTCAATGCTGAGGAAAGGACTTGTTCAACTTTGAGCAGCAACTCTTGAGACGTGCAACCCGGTCAACAAAGACGAGCTGCAGCTCTGGAAAGCTCCGAGTTTGTCCGTCAACCTCACCGGAGCGCAGCCACCCACAGCTCCGGTTCCAGACTGTTCGACGGGCGAACGTGAGTGGCAGTCCTGGTTTCCGATACGCCGATACCTTGCCCAAAACTAGCATGCAGCTGAGCGCCGAAGCCACCGATGTGATCCAATGCCGCCGGGCTTTTAAAGTGCCACTTGCGCCACACGGAAATCGCATGTTGCCAGGCAGACGCCCCTTCTCGGTACAAGTTTTTTCATCAATGCCAATTTCAGGAGGAGATGCACGGCAAATGAGTCTCTAGGAGCTATTTTAGCGTGTTCTGGACTTACTCATGATGAAAAAAAAAAGCGGCATGCTATTCCGCCTCGGAGGCAAAACAGCTGGCCAGAAGGAACGCTGCACTGATCCAGAGCTGACAGCTTGAGCTGGTCCAATGGCCACATATGTACACCCCCGGGCTCAAGATGCAGCTGGGCGAGAGCCTAGAAATACCAAATACGTCAATGGCGCCGTTGGCTGTCATGCAGCTGGTTGAAGTAGCCTTGGCCTCATCAACTGCCTCAACGCAGCCACCAATGGGTACGGTGCTACTGTCGTAGCTAGGGAAATATCCCGCAATCCGTGGGTGATCGGCGAAGCTGCAAGTCTAGATGGAAGATATCTTGATTTTTGTCAAGCCTCCATCATGCACGCAATTTGTCGGCAATTTCCTACCGTGCTTTGGCGCAGGCATCTGTGACGAGGTTGGCGGCCAAGTACAGCTGCTTGAGTGCTTGGTCACCCGCTTGATCGACACTGCAGGCATAAATTAAAGCCACAGCAAATGTATGATATGACACGCACCCATTTCTATGCTTTAGCGATGTATCCGTAACTGCACATCTGGTGGCAGGCAACCCACCGGTGAGCTCGCCACGGATTGAAGCCACCCGCCGCCACCCCCCCGCTGGGGAGCTGTAAGATGAAGTTTCTTTCCTCGATGAGGGTCGGACCTGAGAAACGGCTGGGATCAGTATAGTACGGATCCAATAGAGGAGAAAGGGCGCGCCAATCAGCCACTCGATGCTTGGCCACCGATCGTAATAGGCTCCAGTACTGCGGCGATACAGTACGTTCTGTAGGACAAGAGTGAAAGTTTCCCCTCTCAACTCTCAGGGCAGAGAAAAACAGAAAAACAGAAAGAGAAGAGTCGAGAAAGACGCAGTTATGTGAGGCATTAGCTGGGATCGACAGGACTAGTCTGCCAATGACTGGCATCGGTGTTCCCCCAGGCCAGTTGGTGGTGCCCTGGTTCGCCTGACAGCTTGCCAAACTGACAGTTGATGTAACATGTCGGTGGCGATGAAGCAATATCAAGGTCCAGATGGAGCAGGTGTCTTTTTTTTTTTTTTTTTTTTTACGCTCGAAATTAATTTAGGCTTTAATTCAAAGCCCGGGAAAAGAGTTTGCCATCCAAACTCGGGTATTGATCAAGACAAGCAACTGTTTCCGCACATCATGAAGCAAGCAAAAACCTTGCCTTGTTGTTGCAGAGCGTCTTCAGGTACCCGTCGGCCCTAAAAAGTCTCAGATGACTTGTCTAGTTTCCCTTGTCATGGATGTGGCTCGTATTTATTTCGGGGCAGAGCTGCAGGTCCCCCCTCCAAGTTTGTACGTGCATCGAGAATTGAGCAACGTGCCCCCAGCTAGTTGGACGTTCCCAGAGAAAGATGGTTGGGGTTCCAAGAGAAATGGTTTGCTGCCCCGAGGAAGCCGTGAGGCTTTGCTGTCCCTTGTCCTGTTTCATTTTGCTCTGCAGTTTCCACGATTGGTGTTTCACTTTGGTATACACGCATGTGTAAGCACCCCTTTCCAAGGGAAAGAAGAAAAGAAAATGATGGTAAATAAAACGGAAAGCAGTAGTTGGGACTGTGTATTTGGTGAGAGTTGCTTCTGTGGCTAGTTATTTAGCCCTGACTAACTATTAATGGGCGAGGGGCTTGTGCCAGGAACACGCCAGGAGAGCGGCTTCCCTAATGACTCTCCACAATGGGCCGCCCTAGGAGCGCTTTCGTGGCCTTTGTTTGGAGCTTTTGTTTTGTGTCGACTTGTCCGTTGCAGCACTAATAATCGGGAGTCTCCCGTCTCGCCGTCTCGGTGGCGGTGGATAGTGCGATCTTGGAACAGAGTAAAGCCGGCAATAAGTGGCTTGATGAGCTGTCAAATTTGGCCCAGCCTTGCGAAAGCTCCGGACCACCAAAAGGTTAGTTAGTTGGTTATTATGAGGCGTTTTAGCGACGGGCCGTGGCTTGGCCCAAGGGCAACACGCAAGTAAGACTTCCGTCCTAGGCCCTTGAATGTGGCCCAACTCTGCATTGTTTCTAAAAGCTTCAATGTATAATTGCAAGGGAGACGCTGCATAACTCTTCGGGAAGCTCGCGGGGATAGACGGCGGCTAGACAGCCCCCTCCCTCCCACCACCGTCCAGGTCTCTCCCTCCTGGTGTCCTGATGCCGGCGTTATACCTGCTTGACAAGCCTTTTTTAGCTTCCAGGGGAGAAGCGGCATATCACAAAGCAGTGGAGGCGGCCGGCCCGGCCCCGCCCCTCGCCCACAACCCCGTTCCCTCAAACAACCAACCAAGACTGAGCCTGTTTTCCTCTTCTGGCACAGCAGGTGGGGGGAGCTTCTTCTTGCCGCCCCCTGTTCTCGAAGAAGAAAGAAGCTGGGGGCGCGACGCTGCGCACGGTTGCATGCTGGCTGGCCCAGCTGAAGGCGCGTGTGCTGCAAGCGACTGCGTGTTGCGGTGTCTGTTGCTGCAAGTCGGCAGTGTGACTTGTTCGTCGGTTCGAGGTCAGAGAGCATGAGCCAGTACTCAGAAGACGACAACACTGTACATGCGCCAGCTTTGGTCGGCAAAGAAGCCTTTCACCTCGACAACGATAGGCTTTCTGGGGCCGGAGTGTATCGCGACTCTGGAATGTGCCTACCAGTACATATCAGCCATGTTGTTAATTAGTAAGAAAGAGGGTTACTTGATCTCAGCCTCTCTGGTCTTGCTTCTGGTAACGAACTAGTCTGGCAAACCAAGCCCCTCCCCCTGCCCTTACAGTGGGCATCCAGGTAATAATAACGGCTCGAGTTATTTTATCTTTGCTTTTTCCATCGAGGGCAAAAGATGCTTTCCAGTACTACCGAGCATCTCATCATACTGCAGCAGAGACACATCACGCCACTGATGGAAGCATGTCCGCTGCCGTCTTACAATGGATGCTTGCAAACATGCTGCCCAATGTCGCAAAGGATCCATGAAGAAAATCCCTTTGTGTCCAACAACCACGTTCACCGATCCAGATTAGGCCACGTCAGTTATGCATGTCTCTGCTGCCTCTATTTTCGACCCTAACTAGAGAAGTGGTGCCGGTGGCCTCTTTGGTCAGACTTGGCGCGAGGCGGTGGCCATTTGGCTCGGAACCAGGATGAGTTGTTTGCTTTTTCTTTTTCTTTTTCTTTTGGTCGAGTTTATCTCTTCCCTTTCTTTCCTTCTTGTCTGAGCGCTATAACTACTAGTAGTTTTCTTCGTATGACTTGGCGAAGAATGGGGTGGGCAAATAACAAGGCGACGGGGATGTATCGGCAAGCAGAAGCAAAAGGACTTACACTAATAATGCAACTCATAAACGAGACCTAGACTTGATGCAACTATCGGAACGGTCAATTCCCGTGGGAAATTACCTCCAGGATTGCCATCGTAGACACATCGAATGCTTGTCCTTGCATGTACCCTGCTACTTGTCGTACAGAGCATATAAGTGTACATGAGAATTCTATCAAGCAACCATGGACACTGGTACGCTAACTTGACTCTTACGCAGCACACAGGGATATGAGTTTATGACACTTACATTTCACTCTTGTCTGGTACAGTAATAAAGGTCAGCGCATCAAGCTAAGGGTGCGCCACATCCTGCAGAGCAGTGCTCGGCCTTGTATCAAGACGATGGTTGGCTCCATCTGAGATTGCCGCACTCTTCACTGGCCCCGTGCAAGTTAGTCTTCGCTACTACCCTCCCTTCCCGTTGGATTGTCTAGGTCAAAGCCCAGGGGCGCAGGGCCACGGTCCACACCCTCAGAACAGCGATAGTCCGATGTTGGCGCGCCTCATTAGGAACAAGTTTGGCGGGAAAAACCCCCCCACCCCTTCCCGTCTGAAGTGAGCAGATGGCTAGTCAGGTTGGCGGGATCCAAGCCGCCTTGCTTCCCCAGCCTTTTCTACGCACGGTTGGTTTAGCAAAACCCCGGACATTACTTGGGGGCATGAATGAGAGCGCATATGTATGATCCCGTCAACTGCCGGAGCTCAACCATGCAGCAGAAACGGTCATAAGAGATGCCGGACGGGTTTCTCAGCGGGTTCTCAAATGTTATCTGACCTGGTAACTCGCGTGAATCAAGCGGCTGCCCATGTAAAGCCCGGCGGAGTGACTTTCGAGGCCACTGTCTGTGGGAAGTAATCAGGCACGCCACAGAGATCAGGTACGCCACAGAAACTCGGACCGGCCCTCGGAGGTTCTACTTCAAGTTGGCAAAATATTGGCAACTAAGAAAAATGTCTTCAAGTTGGCAAAGCTAGTTAGCAACTAACAATCGTATACTTCCTTTGGCTCCCACGCTAATGTGACAGAGTAGGGATGTGCAGGTTGTGCAAGCGTCCGAGGCTAGTCAGCCGCATAACTAACAATGGGATATCAACGCCCTTCCAAGGGTACTCTTTGGGAATTCCATGTCTCGCCTTTTCAATTTATCTTGTTGCTCCTCTTCGTACGTCGTTTGCTGTCCCTGCTCGAGGGAGCAGTCACCCGGAAAACAAGGGCTACACCCGACTTTCCTCAGCAAGACCTAAAGAGGATGCCCGCAACTAGCTTGTGTACTCTATTGTCGAGAAACAACATGTCATCTTGATATAGTCGTACATTATTCTCGTATCATGGAGCTGGGCACTCGTAGCTGGTGGGGTCAGGTTGCTAGGTAGCATTGGTGCCCTCTGACGCCCTGCAGGGAACGAGAGTAGCCTCGAGAGCCACAATTTGTTTTATTTTTATTTTTCAGTCATTCCTACTTGTTTCGCTTTGTTCGCCTCTTTTGATCCTGGTCAGGGAAGTGGATAGACTGTCCAGGTGGATCAGAGGCAAGGCAAGGCTGGGCCGTGATGGAAAGTAGGCGACGTCCCGGAGTTGAACGAGGAGACAGAGTCCTCGGCTTCAAGTATAAAAAGGGCACGTCTTCCCCCGAGTTCTTGTCCTGAATCATCACACACTCAATTAACTCTTCTACACAATCTCTTCTTCCACAACACTCCACCACCTCCTCCATATCAAAATGAAGTTCTTCGTTGTCGCTGCCCTCTTCGCTGGCGCTCTCGCCGCTCCTACCGAGCTCGAGGCTCGCACTTACCCCGTCACCCTGTGCCCCAACGGCCTCTACGCCAACCCCGTCTGCTCTGACGTTGACGTCCTTGGAATTCTGTGCCTGAACGCTGTCTCTCGTATGTCACCAAGACTCGTCATTGTGAAATGGACTAACAACCTTGCCAGCCAGCGAGTCTCCCCGCGACGCCAACCACTTCCGTGAGGTCTGCGCCAAGATTGGCAAGCAGGCCCGTTGTGCTGTCCTTCCTGTCGTAAGTGTGACCAACTAGAAGAGCAAAAACCGACGACTAACCCTGCTGTGTAGGCGAACCAGGCTGTTCTTTGCAACAAGCCCGTTGGCATCACCAACTAAACGGTACCACTATGCCACTCGTCCTGTGTAGAGATGAGATACAGAGCTACAGAAGAACAAGGGATGGTCATGGTGGAAGACTAGAAAAGAGAGGGCTAGGCCTCCTGTTAATCAGCCAGGCCAGCGTGCGTGTATTACTTGTGTCGCGCATGTTTTTTTCCTGGTAACGTCCCCTGTACAGATACGGGACACTTCACATAGCTTTTTACCTGATACATACCTGGAATACAACATGTAATAACAAGAGAAAAACTACTTGAATGCGACATGTGCTACAAATAGTTGCTCGAAATGACAGTTGCTTTCAGTGCGCACTCAGGTCATGACTACTGCTCGTGCTGCACTTTGGAGGCATGAGACCAATCACTCATAAAAAAAAAAAGACGAAGAATAAAGCCAGTCACTAATAAGAGCAAGTACAAAGAATATGATTGACTAGCCAAGTCCAATGACTTTCATGTATCTAGCATACGCGCTTGCGCTGGTGTGGCGCTTAGAAGTCTTGCAACCGCGCTCCCCTACTACATGTGCTTGGTCACTTCGCCATGGAGTAAAAGGGCTGGCATCTCGGAGGGAGAGCAAAAGGCGTCGAGAGGGCCTGATGGAATTAGTACTTCATTCTGCCACCCGAAATAGTGCACCCGGGGGAGCCGGGTGCGGCTGACGATGCACTTACACCAACTCGTTGCCTGGGAAAGCCTAGTCGTGTCATACAGAGAAGGGTTACCGCCCAGTCGTATTCGCTTCGCAAACACACACACACACTACATCAAACCCCGCGCGGTAAGCCGCAAAAGTCGGCGCACAGCTGGCACATGCGGTCCGAGGGCTCGTAGGCGCAGTCGTCGCCGTCCGGGCCGGCCCTCGACGCCTCGGAGGTGTTGGGGCACTCGCGGGCGGCAAAGGCCGCATGCGACATGAGAAAGCGCCGCTGCTGGCAGACGACGGTGACAAGGCCGCTCTGGTTGACGAGGTGCCGCAGGCCAAACGGCGTCTCGACCGACTCGTCGATGCGCCGGCACAGGTCGTCGGCGCCGCACGGGCAAAACTCTTGTACTTGGATGAACTGGCACATGATGTGGGCGAGTGGTAGACAGTGTCGGGCAAAAACGAAACAAAAATTAGAAAAAAAAAACAAAAAGGGAAAAAGAAGAGCTCGGCAATTACAGAGGGGAGGAGTTGGCATGCAAGGGTGAACTTGGGGAGGCAAAGGGACTGCAACAGGTTTTTGTATTTCTTTTGCCTCAGGGTGCTACACCATGGTACTGCGTCACGCAAAGCGGCACACAGCCTTGAATCACGCCAGCTCGTTGAACCATGTGTGACATTGGTCGTGGAGAGTTGAAGCTGGTGAGTACACGGGGGGGGGCCGGCGTTCGGATGCCCTCATCGGTCGGTCGCTCTGCTCGCACATGCTGCCATTAACACCAACTTCTTCCATCATGTGCCATGGGAGAGAGTCGGAAGCTCACGAGTACAACGCCAGATGGCCCCCCTTCATAGGTAGTTGCTGCACATGCTGCAGTGGCTGCACGGCCGTTCGGTAAAGATGTAGCTGATCTGGTCGCCGACGCGCCCGGCGCGCGACGCCGCCGCCGTCTGGAAGCAGTCGCGCGAGGGCAACGAGCCGCGCTCCCGGAGTCGCCGTCGCAGACAGAGCTCGCTCCGGTGGACCGGGTCGCTGAGGATGTGGAAGAGGGTGCCGCCAATGGCGACCTGCTCCGTCAGCCGCGCGCCCAGGCATCGGGCCGCCTCTCCGCAGGGACACATGGTCACCTCGAAGAAGAATTTGCACATGGTGTTGCTTTGGGGGGAGAGAGGGAGAAGCGCTTGGTTTAATCAGGAAAAAAAATGTATCAATGGTCGTCCCAAGGTCAGAAAAAGCGGACAATGGGTGAGCATCTTTATGCCTTCTCGGGACGCGTGCTCTAGGGGGTAGATATACGAATCGGCGGTTGGGCGCCGATACACACTTGTCATTTGCCGTACAGCTGTTCTTGTTTACCTCTCATATGAATCCATCGCGACCTGGCACATCAGTTGCACGTCTCCATCAAAACATCCCTGGTTCAACCTAACCATTGCCTATGCGCGTTGTACACGGATGTTGGCCTTGCCCTTTTCTCTACCCGGTTCTCCCGCTTCCCTCTTTTTCGTCATGGTGCCACGTATCGAAGAAAAAAAAAAGAAAAAAAAGGAAGAGAAAAGAAACACACACACGAGCAGCCTTACTTTGCCGCAGCACCGCCAGCACGAGGGCATTCCTTGCAGGCCGCGCATACCCTATGATCACGGACGCAGCCGTACGGGTCATTCTCCCAGCCGTTTCTGGACTCTTCCGACGTGTTTGGGCAGTCCCGCCGCGGCACGCTGTTGCCACGCTTCAACTGCTCCGAGCAGGGCGCCGATCGGATCCAGGCGTCCCCTCTGAAGTGAAACCGCTTCTTCTTGTACACGGTGGAGCCCTGCCCGAGCTGGGTGCATCTGTGTCCCGCCGGGCACGGGCAGAGCGGCTGTTGCAGAATAAATCTACACATCATCTCCGAATCGAAGGGGGGCCGGGAGGAGGGCGACGGTAAAGTGATTGGGGGGGGCGCGTCAAACGGTCGAGGCGGCCGTGGTAGAACTGAGCAAGCGCGTAGTTTCTGTCATCGTCCAAAAACCTCCCTTCCAGAGAGAAAATTCTCGGCCCATTCTCTCTCGGACTTGGAGGTTACAGAGTGACGCATTTGGGCTGTGATGCCGTGTTACACAGAGCCCAACCCCTGCGCCAAGTCATCCGAGACACGATTTGCGCATCGACTCTTTCATCATTTGTAGATTGTAAGAGAGAACATCTGTCCCGTGTCAGCAGTGGCCTAACAAAGTCCTCGTCTCGCTACCGATCTACGCGATTAGAGAGAAGACCTGTCCCTTGTAAGCAGCGGCCTAAAAATCCCCATCTCGCTACGGATACTGCGAGATAACACTATCGAGCCTCGGCTCATCAGGCACATTGGGATACAAGGCAGCAGCAGCAGACTTTTGATGCCGGGAAAGAACTGTGCCCTCTTCAATAGTTTTGTTTGTATATACGAGGATGATGAGCCGCGATGTAGTGCTCACATGTCACAGGCTGAGGTCATGACCAGAGTCACCGACCAAAAAGACGGGCAAGTGATGTGGACGATAGTACTTTAAAGTACACAAACGGTCGTTAAACGCCTGGTAATACATGACTACCGAAGGACCGTATGATGGCAACCCCTTTCCCGGTGCGGGCACATAACTAAAGTAATTTGGTTGACGTTTACGTAATGAAAATATTCAAGAAATTATACGAGTATAGTCTCAAAAGACCGAACGTCACAACATCGAATACTAGATTGGTTGGTCTCTCTATCTAAATGGTCGCTGACAGTCCTTGGGAGTGTCGTTACTGGGATTATACTTCGACACCAATTCGGTCCCTGAAAAATGTGCGTCCAAGGCACCGCGCAATTTACTTCAGATGCAAAAGTAAGGGGCACTACATGTCTTGGTCATCCCATGCACCGCACCGGAGAAGCTCCCCGTATATGCTGGCCAAAAGCTGAAAGGAGGTTGAGGCTGCACGCAACACCGAGGGAAAGTGCCGCGGCCGCACTTTGAGGAGCATATGTCACCAATAACACCAATAACAACCATCTAGTCGGGCTCCGACCTGCCTCGCAGCCGTCTTTTCGCGGCTGTTGGGCAAGGCGGGCGGAATGAGCACCCTTGCTCAGTAGCCTCGCTGAGAGACGCACGCCACCAGCTGAGCCTGCCCAACTGTATCTGTGCCCAAATGAATAGTTGATAGGCCAAACAACGGCGATCTGCGGTGACGGCAAATGAAGGCCTTGGCAGCAGAAAACCCATCCATCGTAGTAGTAGCCAGTGCGCATGACGGCATCGATGAGGCTCCGACCCCCCCAAAACGCAGTGCACTTAGCCGCAGACAGCGCTCATCTCGCTCTGAAAATCTCACGACAAATTCACGTCGCACAATAGCTTCCTACAGCACAATCAACAGATACCAGACAACCGGTAGATGAGTATTCGACTTCGCCGAAAGTGGCTCCTGTCACGACATAAACGGTTGTCCCCCGGTGGACAAGGTTTGCGGGCGTGGCGAGCGCCACAGCGCTTTTCCCTTCGACGAAAACGGTCAATCAACGAAAAGCCCCAACTATCTTTCTTTCTAATTTGGTAAACGTTTGGCTCTTCACATGAAGAATCCTCGTCCTTGGCCTTCATCGAGTACGCGACCGACCCCGCCCCGTCAACCGCGGCATCGAGACGAGCCGCCAGCCACTGGAAATGCCACAGGAAACTAATGAAAAGAATAATAATAACGGGTTGTAGGCTCAAGGCCCCTGCCTATGTTCCCCCACAGGCTCGCTCCACCTGCTGTCAGGCCATCGATGCGGGGAAGTTGTAGTAATAGAGGGGACGGCGAAAGAAAAGGCTGGCGAATATCGGCGTGGGTAAGGGAATGAGATTTTTCGCAGCATCTCGTCCGATTCTATTGATGTATCCTAACTTGGCGTGTTTCAGTACTTATCAATCAGTGTACCGCTCTGCCTCTCGCGTCTAATAGTCTGGTTTCATCCGACTTACACCATCTGATGGACAAGACGATCGGCCTGCACCATCAGGACCAACTTTCGACTTCGGACCACAAGGCTCATCTGTTGCGCCGTGCGTCCGGCTCCGACACGACACCAAAAAAACGCCATGTCCGCATCCAGACGAGATTTTTTACACTCATAATAATAAGCAGGGACGCTTCCCCGGACTGCCTGCCCGATTGGGCAAGACGCCTCCCCCGCGGTGCCCAAAGCGTGGCTTGGCCCAAAACTGTCAGTCTCGTACCATTCGCCCTAGTTACTGGTATGAGCTGGGGGGGGACAGGGATCGTTGGGTCAAGTAGAGTTTTTGCTAATAACAGAGGCTAGAAAAACAGACGAGAGCGCGTAATACTAAGGCCTGTCCGGTATGGCGAGATCAATATAACCCCCAGTTTGTCTGTGGGGTTCATGAGTTGGGATGCGGAGAACCTGGCATGTTGCGCGGTGAGAAGATGCCTTGTCAGGTAGCATCGTGCATGGAAACTAGCGAAATAGTGCCTTTATGGGTTGCATGGAACCCTGGTTGTGCTTAGTACGAGCAAGGAAGCAAGGACAAGCAAAGTCTCGTTGTTCCTCGGCTCGCCGCCATCATGAACAGGCATTACCATGTGGAAATGTCCCATCGAGACATTGGACCATCCATGTCTCTCTCTCTCTCTCTCCATTGAAACTATATAAACATCACCGTTGATCCCTCTGACGATCCGTCCTTTCCCCAACCCAGCGCTTCATCTCTTCCAATCGCCCCCTGTCCGTCCATCTCTCCTTCTTCCTTTGCCCTCTTTCAAAGCACCCAGCTTTCCAAAGAAAGATCCCCCACATCGCACACCATGCAATTCAAGCTCTTTGCCCTTGCGGCTCTCGCCACCTCGGTCGTCGCCGCCGCCGACATCAAGAGCGCGCTCGAGGCAGTCGGCGCCGCGACCATCCAGCTCAACAAGACGGTGACGGCGTACCAGGGCGGCCTGCTCGGGCTGATCCCCATCACCACCGACGCCCTCTGCCTGCTCAACGACATCAACCAGGGCACCCGCACGGCCAAGGCCTCGGCCCCGCTCAACTACGAGGCCGCCCTCGACATTGCCAGCTCCGTCGGCAACCTCGCCAACAGCGTCGACGACGTCATCAACAACTTCATCCGCACCAAGCCCAAGTTTGACAAGCTCCTCATCGTCACCCCCATCATCAAGGGCACCCTCGAGACCCAGCGCGCCGCCACCGCCGACCTCAGCAAGGCCGTCCTCGCAAAGACCCCCACCGAGCTCGCCGAGATTGCCGCCATCCTCGTCAAGCAGATTGACGACAAGTTTGCCGAGGGCATAAAGGTTTACTCGAAATGAGCAGATGATGGTTTGCGCGCCGCCGTCGGCATCGGGCAAAACGAGACGAGGTTTCAGGATGATGGGCCAGCTTTGTGAACGCAAGCCTGGCCAAAGTACATGAACATTGGATACATTCTCGCGTATATATTCACGACAAATACAACTTTTTACAAGCAGCGTAACCTTGGACATTGCGACTTGAAAAAATGGGATTGCATTCTACCCAGTTTAGTTTTTCTACACCAATATATATTCGCGATAAAATCAACTTTTATAAACCGCGTAACCTATACCATTCCGACTTGACAGATGAGATAGCATCATACCCAATTTTACTTTTCATATACCAATCCAATCAACTACTTAATTTTCGTAAATCACTCAACACCCTCAAGCACATCTAGTCCATCTGGTCCACCGTCTGCGGCGTCGCATGACCAGTCGTCGGCGCGCCACCCACCTTCAGGTCCTCCGCCGTCACCGGGCAGCGCCAGCCAAACGCGTCTTCGACCTTGCCCAGCTGGATGCCCTTGAGGTGCGCCAGCACTTTCAAGCAGATCGGACCCGCGTCCTCCTGTTCCGTCGGGATATACGTCACCGTCTCCGAGGTCTCGTCCGTCGTAACATTCGCCGCCGCCGGCAGCCCGCCCTTGATACGGCGTGTGATGGAGCGGATCGGCACCAGCGCGGCCGCCGTGCCCGCGGCCATGACCTCGGTAAACTTGGGCAGCTCGCTGTACTTGATGACGCGCTTCTCGACGGTCCAGCCCCAGCTGCGGGCCATGTGCTGCACGCTGTCGCTCGTGACACTGTCAATGACGCAGCTCGAGTCGGGCACCACAATCGTCACGTCCGTCTCGTTCCGGGCCACGATGCCGATGAAGCCGCTCGTGCTGAACTCGTCAATCTCGTCGTGGTGCAGGCTGTCGAGGTGCAGCGTGATTCCGTAGCCGTCGGCGCGCGCCTTGTCGCTCCAGCGCAGGACCGGCGCGTAGTTGCCGCCAATCTTGGCGTGTCCGGTGCCCTTGGGCGCCGTGCGGTCAAACTCGTCGAGCACGAGCGCCTTGACCGGGTGCGTGCCGTGGTAGACGCCCGTGGGGATGACAAAGACGCAAAACGTGTACTCTTCCGGCGCCGTCAGGCCCAGCTGCGCGCTGGAGCCGTAGAGCTGTGGGCGCACGTACAAGGCGGCGCCCGTCTCGTGCGGCGGCACGAAGCCGGCGTTGAGGGCGACAGCGGCGCGGCAGGCTTCAATGAACATGGCCTCGGGCACGTGCGGCATCGAGGCCACGTCGGCCGAGTGCTGCAGGCGCACGGCGTTGCGGTCCGGGCGGAAGAGGGCGATGCGGTCGTCGCCGGGCAGGCGAAAGGCCTTGAGGCCCTCGTACGCCTGCTGGCCGTAGTTGAGCGCGGGCGACATGCCGTGGATGCGCATGAACGGGTCGGCGACGAAGCGCAGGGGCGTCCACTGGCCGGTGCTCTGGGTGTAGGTCGACTCGATGTGGCCGTTGACTGGCGCGGACGGGTTAGCAGGGCGGTTGCGTGCCATGACCCGGATGGACGAGGCGTACCTTCGCGGACCTTGAAGCCGACGTTGGACCAGTCAATGGTGTTGACCGGAGGAGGGGGAAAGGCAACCATGGTGACGGATTCTGTTTCTGTATTGCTCTGGTATGATGGGACACTATGAAGAAGAAGAGAGGTTAGCCAGATCTTTTCGCGGGGTAACCGGGTTGTCGGTAGCACGCCACAGCACAAGATCGAGGTTCGCGTTTCACAGATTCCATTGCGCATACACGGGTTGAAGGCTGTGTCTCAAAAATATACCTCGGATAAATTTCACTACTGTCAAGTGTGGGAGATGTGACAATTGAATCCAAAGCGTGGAGCAAATAAATGATGAAGGGAAGAAATGTTGTCGGGCCGCTCGCTTCCCACTTCCCAGCTGTCTTGACTCAGGTGGGCTGATGAGTACCCCGCAGGCCGATGTCGGGTGTCGGAGACACGATGACCGGGTAGAACAGACATGGATCATTTATGGGTAGAATTTACCTCGGATACATCTCTTTCAATTCAGGGTTTCCCTTTTCAACTCGCTTACTCATTTCAGTAACCATCCGCATAGTTCTGGTCGCGGCTGTTCCCCTCTACAACGCACAGCGGCTTGCGGATCGGCGCTAACGTGCTTCAAATTGATGGCCTGTTATTGGCCCGACAAACACGACGCAGCAATGCAACAGAATCCATATATATATTCTTTCTGTGAAGCAACGTCTAAACATCAAATAAGCCCTCGCGGGAAAACATGAAACTTTTTATGCGTAAATAAAATTGGCATCCTGGATAAAAAGAGGCAAGGCACTGCACTGCGCAAGTGCGTTTGTTGGGTGACGCTCCGCTAGAACGCCGTGTCGTGCAGTAGAAGAGCTGAGATAGTTGTAAATGTCGACTCTAAAAAGAACAAAAGAAAACGAAAAGGAACGTGAAACCAAGGCAGAGCGTGTATTCGCCAATGAGGAACAGATCAACAAAGCAGCAGAAGAACCAGAAGAACCAGAACCAGAAGAAAGCAAATCATGCAACATCATCCGAAGCGTGCTTGGTTGCCCCCGTCATCTCGACAAGCAGCTCATGTTGCCAACTGTGCAAGTCCGGTGCCAGCCAGACGCTGAAGGAACGTAAGAACGCCTAGGGATATAAATTAGTAAAGGGAACCATGAGTACCATGTAAAATTGACGTACCGCTGACACCCTGGGTGAGCGTGGCACTGGCCTCGGTGCTGCGGCTGCCTAGGCTGACCGTCACCACCTCGCGCACGGCGCCCACATCCCCAAGCAAGTTCGCCCACTTGAAGACCTTTTCGTCCTCGCGCCCGTCGCCAACTACCATCATGAAATCCACGGCTTCCTTGTGCTGGCCGTCCGGGGACAGGTGTTTCTGGAAGCGGTCAAAGACCTGCTGGGCGGCAGTGCTCTTGGTCCAGTCGGCTGGCTCGACAATGATGCTGCTGTCGAGCAGAACGGCGTGCACACGCTGCGACTCGCACGCATCGTTGACGTGGCTGGTGCAGTCGGTTGCCAGGCGCGATGCCGACTCAAAGTCCTCGGCGTTGCCAAAGTGAAAGATGAGGCTGCAGCGGCGCTCCTCAAGCTCCGCGCCGGGCGTCCGCTCGAGGTAGTATGTGAGGATATTCTTGACTGAACGCTTCCAATTCTTAATCTGAGACGTATCAGCCATTTCCTCCCACTCCGTCGCCCCGTGGTCGCGTAGGAAACATCCGTTTTCGGCAATCAGGCCCAGGTTCGGCACGCGTTGGAACACGCGGTCCAGCTCCTCGGGCAGCCGTCCCGACATGACGTAAACACTGTTGCGCTCGTCGAGCAATAGCTCGTTGAGAACATCCAGTGTCCTCTGTGGGCTGACAGGAATGATTTGATTGACCGGGCCCCAGTTGACCAGGGTGCCTTCGTAGTCCAGGATGAACAGACGGCGTCTTGACAAATTGTACTTATCCGTGACAACAGGCACAGAGAGGCGAGGGACGGAAAACTGGTCACGCTTGTGCTGGGTCTCATATGCACGATCCAGTCGAGACAAGAATTCGCTGAACCAGTGACCACCGGTGTGTAGAGACACGGCCTCGTACAGGTTTTCCCATCTCGTCTTCTTCTCCTCCTCACCCATCTCGAGAGCTTGCTTGATGGCATCGGCGCACTGACGGTAGTCCCAGGGGTTGACACACAGCTCGTTGCCATTGAAGAGCGACGAGGTGCCGGTGAATTCGGAGAGTATCAAGGACCCATGCTTCTTTTCCGTGTAATTCTTGCCGTCTTGACAAAAGAGATATTCGTGCGACGTCAGATTCATGCCTTCGCGCTGGCTGGTAATCATAAGAGCGTCGGCCACGGTGAGCAGGGCAAGGTACTGGGCATAGTCAATATCCTGCTTGAGATAGACGACAGGCTGGTAGGCCAGGTTGGCCCAAGAAGAGTTGACACGGGTCACGATATCCGACACGGTAGCATCCAGTTCGCTCTTTTCACTAGAAGAGAGGGCAACTTGGATAAGCACCGTGTGCTCGCGCCATTCCGGGTACTTGTTGAGGAACAACTCGTACGAGAGCAGCTTCTGGCGGACGCCGCGCACATGGTCTAGCTTGTCTCTGGCGACGATGAGCCTCTTGCCCTTGTATCGCTCTTGCAGAATATCGAGCCAGCGCATCACCTCGGGCTTCTCTCGGTGGAGCGCCAGGCTGACAGGGTCGATGCCAATGGCCAGATTGACCACGTCGACGAAGCGATCTTCGAGCTGCAGGCCCTCGGGTGTGGCTTCGACGCTCAGAATGCGGCTGCACGTCTGGAGGAAGTGGCGAGTGTACTCGCGGATCTGGAAACCAACCAGATTGGCACCCAGCATGCCTTCGAGAAGCTGTTTGCGCACGGCGAGGCATCGGAAGACCTCGGACGAGGGAAATGGGACGTGCAGGAAGAAGCCAATCTTGGCTTCTGGCAGCTTCTGGCGGACCATGTTGGGGACGAGGAGCAGGTGATAGTCGTGGACCCAGACGACATCGCCACGCTTCCAGTTGGCGACAATCTTGTCGGCAAAGGCCTGGTTGACATTGACGTAAAATTGCCAGGAATGATCCTCATAGGCCTTGCTCTTGGGGTTGTCGGGGATTTGGTAGTGAAAGACGGGCCAGAGGATCTGCTTGCAGAAGTGGCTGTAGTGGCCGTCAAAGTCCTTGTCGGAGCAAAAGACTGTGAGCATGTCGTGCTCGGTGGCGAGGGTATCCTCAATGTTTTGCTTCTGCTCGGTTTCGTCGAGGGCGTCGGTGGGCATGCCGAGGGTGCCGACCCACACATGTTCGCCGAGGCGGCCGTCGCGGGCGGCGGCGTCGACGGCGTTGCGCAGACCGCCGTTGCCCTGGTCGGCGTTGACGACCTTCCAAGGGGCCGAGGCGAAGACGCGGTCGTGGCTGTCGCTGCGGACGTGGGGCTTGGGTTGGACGACGCCGCGGCGGCCGAGCTCGCGGGCCTTTTGCAGGGTGCGGCCCTGCTCAAAGGCGTGCGGCGCTGGGGGCGAGTTGGCGCGAGACTTGGGCTGGTCGGACCGGTGACCCCAGGACTGGGAGAGCTGGTTGACGGGCGAGTCCATCTCGTGGGGATACTGGATGCGGAGGCCATCCTCATTGGCAAAGAGGCTGGGCGACCGCGACTCGTCGGTGGGTGTCTGAGGCGGCGTGATGTCCTGCCGGGGCGGCGCAAACAGGCTGGGGCGCGCGGGCGTGGGCTGGACCAGCGGCGGTTTAGGTGCGTCGACGGCCGAGGAGCGGCGGCGGGTAAAGGTCGACCGGCGAGGAGGCGTGCCGGGCAGCTGAAACTGCACCGTCTTGGGGAGAAACCTGGAGGAGTGGCATGGGGTGTTAGCAAGAACAATGCGCATCAAGCATCGATGGCGTCACAGAAAAGTGCAAGGTAACGTTAAGCGGGGCGCGCAAGCTTACAGAGAGCAGACAAAGACGGTCATGTTGAATCAAGAGGAGATGTGACCCAGGTACAAATATGCAAAGAGGTTTCTGGAGGCAATGGCGCCTGGGAAAGGGAAGGGTCGAGAATGGTCTGCCGGGACGACAGGGACACAGAGAGATGGCTCTGTGGTGGTATAATCGTTATAGCGAAGCCATGAGGGCTAATCTGCAGGAGCCGAAACGCGGTATCGACAGTTGGTGCGTACGCGTCAATCGTGGTTCGATGGATGGTTGATGCAATCGTTACGGCGGATAGGCCATTGGATGGAATGTTGGGGAAGAGATTGGCTGATGGGGGAGAAGAGAGGGAGAGCGCGAGGGCGCCGGTAGATAGAAAGGCAGAAAGAAGGCTTGATGTTTGATGTAGTTAGGAGCCGTCGTCAGCGGAGCTCTGGGAGCTTTTCTTAGCGGGGGAAAGCGCGCGTTTTGGCTGGGCAGCCGGCGTTGGAAGCCTGTAACGCTACGCTAAAAGAAACTTGGAGAGGTGAGGGGGGGAGGGGGAGGGAGGGGGCGTGGCCACGGCCAGGTTTGCTTTGGATCTTGGTGGGTTAAGGTTAGTTAATAGGAGCTGAATGGCAAGATGGAATAAGAAAAGGTACTGGAGACAATGTTCCTTTATCGCGGCACGTACCCTGTATTTTTTTCCTCCCTTTGGTTTTGTTGTTGTGATTTTGCGGTTGTCCTGCCTGTATCCCCACGGCTAGTTGGCTGCCTCACTTCCCGAAGCAAAGCGTGGCGATTCGTCGACGTAATAAGCAACGCCTCTGAAACCAAGGCGCCGCCGGCTGTTGCAGCGTTTGTGTGGTGTGTCTGAGATCGAGATTACTCGCTCAACCGGCCAGGATATAAGCAAGGGCCAAGGAAGGATAACAATAGAAATAAAAATAAAAAATAAGATAAGCCCCCCGATTGTCAGAATCAAGAAACTTGAACCGTTCGTTCCTCGAGACCAAGTTCAAGTTGGCGTATAATAAACGTCTGGCCGGTATAACAAGACCCAATCCACGGGGAGCTTTCGTCCGAAGTGGGTGGATTCTTGTTCAGCAACGGGCGCAAGCCACTTTCCAACGAGTTCTTTTTTCTTTTGTCTTTTGTTATTTGTTATGCCTTGGCTTTGGAGCTTCTTCTTTTGGCTCTTATCTTGTCAGTCTGTCGTCACTTTGTCGTAGACGACTTTTTGCAAGTTGAGCGGCCACCTCGTTTTCGTAATGCTCTCTGTGGGTGTCCGTCCGAGACTTGTGAGTGCGAGGCTGCTGTTTGATATTCTATTTATTCCGCCCCCTTTTCATTCATCCTTTATTATTATTTATCCCTTTATTTTCCCGTACCCTTCCGTCGGGCTGCGAAACCCGCTTGTAATTCCCTCGTGGCAGCCCAATATCATTATCCATTATCCAAAAAAAATTCCCGTGGCCCATGCGTGCGTGTGTGTGTGGCGGCAACCCCCCCCCCCCCCCTTGTGTCATGGTCATGACCACTTGTTAGAACATGTCGTCGGTTGAGACTGTCACAGCAGCCCACGATGGGAGCCTCGCCAAGTCACCTGGCTGGTTCATATTTGATAAAACTTATTACATGCGTACATGCAGGTGTACATGTGTATGGATGATTTATTTTAATTTTTTTACTCCCTGTTGCAGTGGCAAAGGCAGCGCAGTTGGGGTAGGGGTTCCTCCGTCTCCTCCTTCTCCGCCTCGAAAGCGCCATGGCCGCTCGGCACCGCTCTGTTGCCTCGTTCCGTCGTTGGTGATGATGAACTGAATCGTCTTGATGGTGTCCCGGAGTTGTCGTCGTTTATTACAGCGCCCGGCGCTAGTCAAGAGCTGAACCTCGGAAATCACGCACACTGGTACACTGTACACTGTACACTGTACAGGTACATACCTATATACATGTATATAAATAAAAACCCAAGACTGTAACTAGCAAATGGAGATATAAATAAACCACTAAATTACACCCTATTGTCATTCCATCTATCCGCATATTCCTATGTACATCCAACAAAAAGACCTCACCCTACGGCACTTTGCACCCCCGGCCATGCACCAACTGCACTGCACACCACCGACACACGCAAACTCGGCTTCGCCGCGCTGCCAATCAATCAGGCGGATGCGCATTGCCGGACCTGCCTGTGGCCAACATGAGCAGGACAACCACCTTACCCACGTCGCCAACGAATTATTCTTCCCCTTCTGTTCCTTTGTTTCCTTGCTTGGTCAGATCCACAGAAACTGCAACGATGCAACGCATCAACGCCCCCCTTCCTCCCCCCAGTCCCCCCCCCCCCCCGTCCA